GGGGGGGGGGGGCGGCCTTGTCGAAGTCCACGCGCCTCTTTTTGTGATGGTAGTAGTCAACCCTTCAACCCAAGTCCTTCCAATACAAAAATTCACCGGGGAAAAAAGGACGCCTGCTATAGAAACTAGAAACTTGATATTACTTCCGAAGTAATTCCAGTAACTTTCCAAAGTAACATTTCTATGTTTTTACAACTCGGAGCTGCGTGAAATATGAGGACAAGAAGAAAATTCTAATAAAAAACAAAACAATAACAACAAATTAAGATCCGTCGAGATACGCCGTGCGATACACTTTTCTCCCCCTGTGCTCGCAGTCGTGCTCGACGCGTGGCTCGATGCGCCCCCGTCTATGGTGCGTACGAGCACGAGCGACAAGCGGGGGCGCAACCTTTTTCAAACCGACTGCAAACGGCGGCGGCGCGGTGTCGCGGCGGGAGCAAGGGGAAGGGGGTGTGGAGGGCACTGAGAAGAGGGCTGTCGCCCCACTAAAGGGGATTAAAGAGGCAATCTCCTTTCTCGCTCACACTCGCTCTCCGGTCCGTCGTAATTTCGTGATGAATTATTCGTATACGCCGTGCGCCCGGCCCGGCTGACAGTCCAATAAGGGGAATCCTCAGCCGTACCTGCTGCCCCCACCCGCCCTGGAGGGCCTTGCATGCCTGTGTCGACCCAGAATCCTAAATTGCGAAAAAACATTTGCGACGTGTAATTCCGATTCCATTATTTTTCTAGAGGAGCGGCGAGCTGAACCGAATCAACCGCTTTGTACCGAGAGCTTTTCACGTCCCGCGCCGTATCACATCGCGGACGGAACATCCGCGAGGCATCCACGGCGAGGGAAGGCGTCTTTCGCTGGTGGGAATGGATGAAATGGATGTTTTGGGAAACGCTGCCAGGCGAAGTTATTGGAAAAATAACGCAACTGTGAGAAAAGCTTTTGGTATATTTTGCGGCACAGCGTAATAACGGACGTTACTTTTAACCCTGATCCTCTCCGTTTCCGCACGCTGCTGCCGTGGGCCGTGAGAGAGGGGAGAGTGATCTGCCCCCGCCTCACCGGCCTCGCCCACCCCACGTCACAGCTGATTTCTTCCCCTGACTTCCCCTGCACCCCCTTCCCCTCTGCGCCGCTCGGTTTGATGAAGAAGGCCGGGGTTCTCAATCTGCAGAGGCTGGCTGGTCTCCCCACCCCCGTTGCCAACTTTGCTACACCTTGGCTCTTTCCCCTCCCTAACCCACCCCAGCCCAGCCCGTCCCACCCCACTCCACCCCGCTGCGCTAGGCCGGAACCAAACGCCAAATAGATGGGCGCGGGTCTCGTTGAGCCACATCAATATTCAGCGGCACAATCCACAATTTTATCGGATGCCTCTCTAATGCAGCAGCGGGCCAGTCGGGGCTTTGGCCGGGCTTTGGCTCCATTAGAGAGGACACGTTTAATTTGTGGCACTCGGCCGACGACGCTAGAGCGCTGCGCGCAATTTCACTTTTGCCGCGCCAAGAATCTTAATCCTGCTTTCGGCCACTGCTCTGCCCCCGGCTGCTCGGCGCTGCTGGCTCCTTTTCTGCCTCACTACTTGTCCCTCTGCTGCTTAAATAATCAGGGCGGTGGCAGCAGCAGTGGTAAAGGAACAGCCGTCCTTGGCGGGGCTTTTGAAACGAACGCGCGCGCGGTCCAGGAGCAAGAGCGGGCGGCTGGCCTGGTCTGGACACAAGAGAGCCCCCCACCCCCGCCATTCCCTCTGCCAGCCCCGCCCCTATGTAGTAGGTACTTCGAATCTCCAGAGGCAGAGACAAAAGTAAAAGGAATCAGACAACAGAAACCTCAATTTAACAACTTGCAAAAATTACAATGTTAAACAAAATTGTTCTTTTGCATCTAGAGTGTGGTGCTCCATTCCTTAAAAATGATTCTTAACTGTTCACAGGTGTAGGTGTGACAGCGTGCCAGTGAAAATGTAAAAGTGTAGTGCTCATCACATCGCCTCCACATGGATTATTTCAACCCATTGGATTACGAGGGTAAGTCAACAAACTTATTCAAATCGGGATGGTGCACACTAACTGGGATGTACTTATTCGTACGTACGCCGTACACTATCGAGCACAGTACAGTGTGCAAAACTAACGAGTTTGACACGTTAATTTGCAAATCCGCACTTTAATGTGCTCAAGTGTTGAGCTTTTCATTTATGGCCAAAACCACACAAATGACGGCGTCTTTCCGTCATCGATTTTCATTTCCTTCGCGGCGATGAAAGGCGGCGTTAATAAGTGGAGAAAAGACCTCATTACTGACCGGATGTGGTTCTCTCGGTTGATCACGAACAGAATTTGGCGGCTCGTGCCCGGCTTGGCGTTCAAGGCCGTGCGCCTCGAGGCCGACGAAGCCCCGTGAATGCCAAATACCGCCCAGCAGACTCCACCCTGCCCCCTACGCTCCCCACCCCAGCGACCTGTTTCGAGACCACCACTTCCAAGCGATCGCAATGCTTTATCGTTATTTTCATTTTCCCACCCATTTCTGTGTCGCCTTTTCAATGCCGCGCCCACCCTCCCCCTTCGTACAGCAGGCGGGGGGACAATCTGCAAGGAAATTGGAGTTTTTGCAAAGGTGGGGAAAGGGAAATGGGCGAGGGAAGCTGGAAAACGCGCGGCGCGTTCAAAAAGTCCTCATCAGCCCGCGACAAACGAACAAGTCCGAGGAATAATCTCGGCCACGCACCAGTTCGGCTTTCCGGAGCGGTTCCGATCATTTTTCTCCCGGCGGCGCGGTGGCGCCCTTTCTGTACGTCATTTGCATTCGACCCCCTGCCCCCCACCCGGGTGCTGCGCCCCCCACTCCTCGAGACCCTTAATGTCAATGTTGATACAGCGCGCGGCGCAGTCACTGTTCGTCGCTCGCGATGAAATTGAAGTCGGGAGGCTGATAGCAGCCGCATCGTAGGGCAGCGCCAAGCGCGCAGCTGGCGCACTTGACTTGCGCAACCTCGCGCAACGCGCGCAGCTCAATTTTCCTCCTCCATACATGCTGTAAAAATTTACAGACAGCTCTAAAAACTAACAAATGAAGTATTTTTTGATGATGTACCCCTATCTTTTTGAGAGTGGCCGCCACCATCCTCTCGGCTACTTTTGGAATATAATGCGGAGCACGGCGCTCCAGAGGTGCCAGCCACGCATCAGGCAAAAATATGGATGAAAAATAATGGTATGCGGCCAGTGCGGCACGTAGCCCTTTGCCTCTACCCTCCTGCTCTCTCTCTCTCTCTCTCTCTCTCTCTCTCTCTCTCTCTCTCTCTCCACCTCTGACGGCCCCCACCCCCGTCTCTTTCTCGCCGTACCGCCAAAAGCCACGCAGGCAGGCGGAGGCGCCTGGCTGGCCAGCTCCTGGATACCCGCGCCACCGCACTCTGCGCCCCTGCACGGAAAGAAGAAGAGTTATAGTCCCCCCAACGAAGCGTTAGTTGGTTTTCGGATAACAAACTGGTTTTATAGCCCCAGAAACCAACATTTAATTGAGGGAACGACGTTGTTGTTGCGAGAACGAACGCGTGGTTTACCTGCACAAAACAATTTTTTTGCTCTTTTTCGCTCTTTTAGCAACAGCCTCGCTCGCCCGACGAAATTTTGGTTGTGACATCCAAATACTGGTTTCGCGGGAAGTAAAAACAATTGGTTATCCCAAAATCAACACAAACTTTAATTGGGGGAACTAACTCTTTTTTCAGTGTGTGGGGTTCCTTCGGTCTGCCCCTCCCCGGTGGCAAGTCCTAGGGCCCAGAGGGCGACGGTAGTAGCGGCCCCTTCGATACTCGCCTTGCCGGCGCCGTGTCGTCCGGCCGCGTAAAGTTTTGTAGTATGGAAGAGAAAAGCGCAAAAGTTTAACGAGATGAAAATGCCGTGACTTTGTTGACTGAGAGTTGTTTAGTCCTCCCTCTTGGCACAGCAGTCATTATTTTGTAAGAAATGATATGAAGGGAAACCCAGATGGGAACCCCGGTGTAGATGCCTTTTTGGGGAATAGGTAACCAGGACCGCGGTCCACGCACTCATCCCTCTCGCCCGGCAGCCAGGCGCCGGAGCGAACGACCTGTCTGGCTGAATCAGTCCGGGTGGGGAGTGAGGGGCCGAGACAGAAGGCCAGAGATAGGGCAAGAAAGAGAGAAGGGCGAAAGTCTGTAGAGCTGCCTGCTACCCATTTTTGAGTGCAAAAGGAACACTACTGTACTACAATACAATGTACTAAGAGAAGTACGTATACTAGTCACAATTCTTCGATCCAAGTGTAAAAATTAAAATTCCGGTCCGTTTTTGCAATAATATTATAGTACTCGAAACAATACCATAAGGACATATTATTAAGGCACTGGGCTGTTCTTGAAATTAACCCTTCGCAATTGTTATTTTGTGTCGCTTACTCTGGTTTAGAAACTAGATTTGATAGTTTTAAACTGTAATTTTAATTAATGATTCCAAACTGTTTTGAAATTGGAGATTATTTTTTTTCCAGTGAACGAGAGTCTGGCATCATTACCTCAAACGGTCTCGTCATGCGCATGCGTGACTGGCGATACATTGCCTTGCGGTAAAGTTGGCTGACGAGTAAGCGGGTCATTGGCTTTCTTTCCCCGTGTGCCGCCCGCGTGTGACGACAAACTTTTGCGTGGAATTGCTGTGCGTACGCCGGCTGTGGGTGGCGCCGTTCAAAGGGGGGATCTCTGCCCGAGGTGTGCGTGCCGCATGCGTAAGCGCACCTCGAGCGAGGGGATTATCATATACGACCCGGTAACACGTTTCCGAACTTTTCTCTCCCTGAACCGAGCCCACAACACACGGCGCAATCGAGGAAGAGTCGTCGGCCGGAAATGGACGCGTCTCCGTCTCTCCGAAAGCGCGAATACAATACATACGTGCCGCCGTATCGATCGATACAAAAGCATAGTACACGTCACGTGGGAAACGGTCTTCTGCATCCCTGAAATGATTTGGAGCAGTGTGGAGGCAGTTTATTGATTTTTATCGTTTTGCCCATGCAAAATTGTGATGGGGTAGATACGATACTTTTTTCGACCCCGCCTTTAAAAAAAAAATTAAAAAAATGCAAATATACAACTAAAAAACGAACGCAATTAATTAATAGGCTACAGGCGCGCTTGTTTGCCAGGAGCGTCCACACCTTTGATGTGCTGTGTGCGCGGTCTCGGCCGGTCGCTCGCCCCCGCGGAGAACACCCGCCGATTGAACACAGCGAGGGAAATAATATCAAGTAAAAGGGCGAGAAGTATTCGCGGCTTTTACAAGCAATCCGTAAAGAGGGATTGAATTGAAAGAGAGACGCACGCGTCAAGCAGTATAGAGACGCAGCACTGTGAAAAATTGTCAAAGGTTTGCGCTACAATTTTGCAGAATCGTAAAATATCGCTTGTTTTAAATTTACAAAGCACTTCATTTTCACTGCGAAAAGACCGACAAGCCGGAATGGGCTGTCGCACATTTACAACATATTTTGTTAATAAAAGTTATAACAAGTGCTGTAAATTTAAGAAGATATTTTCCAAAAGCGATATCTGTACATATATCTGTAGATTTGTGCTGAAAGCATATGTGAGAGCGACGAACTTCGTGTGCAGTTTCAAAGTAGTAGGCGCAAGAGGCGGGCATCATACCGGAAAGGGACAGTTCCCGCCGGTATCTGCTCACCGTCTCCAAATTACTGGGGCGTCCCCGTCGCCAGCGACTCGAGAGAGCGGCGGAAAGATAGACAGAAGGCACACGAAGGAAGAGGAAGGAGGCCCTGACGCGCCCCTCAGAAACTTCTAGAAGCGCGCCGCCGCCCACCTCACAAACAGGCCCGCCATTACGTGTGTCCAAACTAGCGCGGCGTGGCGTGGCGTTGCGCGGCCAGGAAGGGTGTGTCTCCCCGTCGGGCTAACACATTTCAGCCCGCCCTCTCGAGAAAGGGAGAGAAATTAAGCTGTTAAGGATACACAGCGCGGGGACGGCGCACCGCGTGGGAAAGAAGTGCGATGCAGATCGATTGTGAGAAAGATAAGTAAAATAAAAACAACGAAATCTTTTGTGGATCATTTTTTATGCGAAATTCAAAAAGTTGGGATTCTTTATCTCGACAGCAGCAAACGAAGAGGAAAATTTGTCATTAAAATCCTAGGACGTCATCCAACAGCTAGCGCTCGCTGCCGCGGAGATACGGCGCGGCGTGCTGACGGTGCACGGCGCGACGCTCGCGCCACCGTATTCAACTCCACGTCGTGCCCGTGTTCCTCGCCTTCTCTGCGACTACCTGTACAGATACGAGGGAGCGAGAGAAGGTCTTGTAGAGGATGCCAGCAGCCCAGACTCACTTACCGGAAAACATTCCGCCGGGTCGCAGAGAGCTGCTTCGAGTCGCTGCGAGCAATGACAGCGCTATGGGGATCCAACGCGACCATCTCTGTACAGAACATCCCGAGGAGTTTTACCTTCTCTTTTCTCAATCCTTTCTACTCTCCCCCACCTCTCTGTCGCCCCCACCGACTTTGTTTCGTCCCCCACCTCCCCTTTCTGCTTACACACATACACAGTTTCGTCGTGGGGGACTCCCACCCATCTCCCCGAACCCCTCACTCGAAAACAAACAACGGCGTAAGAGGAGGGATTCTCCTTCTTTTCCGCTAAAAAGTTTGCCAATAAGTTTCTGGCAGCGGCGGCGCGCGCACTCGCGGAGACGGACGGCCCCTGTGTCGCGGCGGACAGTGAGCCCCCCCACCAAAGTGGACCTAGCTACCTCCCTCCTCCCC